AACACAAGCAGGGGGAGTGGGAGAGGGAGAAGCAGGCTTCCCGCAGAGCGGGGAGCCCAATGTGGGACTCGATCCCAGGACCCTGGGATCATGACTTGAGCCGAAGGCAGACGCTTAACAACTGAGCCACCCAGGCGCCCCAAGAAAAACTTTCTTAAAAAAGATTTATTTATTTTAGAGAGAGCATGAGAGCATGGGCAGGTGGGGGGGAGGAGGGAGAGGGAGAATCTTCGAGCAGACTCTCTGCTGAGCATCCCGAAGCAGGGCTTGATCCCAGTGATGTGGGAAACAAAGGCAGAAGAAAAATTATTAAATTTCCTTACTACCGGGGCACCTGGGTGGCTCAGTCGTTAAGCGTCTGCCTTTGGCTCAGGTCATGATAACAGGGTCCTGGGATCGAGCCCCGCATTGGGCTCCTTGCTCGGCGGGGAGCCTGCTTCTCCCTCTCCCACTCCCCCTGTTTGTGTTCCCTCTCTCGCTGTGTCTCTCTCTGTCAAATAAATAAATAAAATCTTAAAAAAAAATAAAAAATAACTATATTTCCTTACTACCTACAACCCATTGACAAGTCCTTTAAACAGGCAGAGTGCATTCCTCTAGGGACTCAACTGCCTTGATGTTGACACTTGGCTAAGGGCAAAAGGCAATCTTAGCCTGAACACCCCCCTTCCCTGCCCCAGGATCCTGTAAGTCTACTTTAACATATAAAAATTCCTTTGGAAATTTCCTTTATCCCTACCCCCCAAGATAAGTGTTGGCAATCATCCCCCAAGCATATGGTCCACCGATATACATCTGAAGGTTTGTGACGAAGGTTTTATTGATGGTAATAAACGCCCTTTTCCCAACAATAGCTAGCCCTCTCAAGGTCCTGGAAACCTTGCTTCCAAAATTCCTTAGAGATTTACGCTCTCCCTAACCCCTTCCCAACTTGGAAGTATATAACGTGCCACTTCTCATGACCCCATTGCTGCTCTTTCAGGCCACGGGTCCTGTCCCTGTGCTTTAATAGAATCACCTTTTTGCACCAAAGACATCTCAAGAATTATTACTTGGCTGTTGGCTTCAAACCCTAGCCTTCTTTCCTACATCACCAGGACCCTGAGATCATGACCTGAGCTGAAACCAAGAGTTGGCTGCTTAACTGACTGAGCCACCCAGATCACAACCTGAGCCGAAATTGAAAGTTGGATGTTTAACTGACTGAGCCACCCAGGTGCCCCTTTCTCTCTTATTTTTAAGGGTGGTTGCCATGTCGAGGGAGGAACAAACCTTTTTTATTGTTTTCGTTGTGTGTTTTTTTTTTTTTTCATGGAAAGATGTTGAAAGGCTTGAGGAGTGACAGAAGGAGGGTCTAGGAATGGAAAATGTTAACACACCTGCCATGCATCTACGAGGTCTGTGTCTTAAGCTCAACCATAGGGAGCCTCCCATTGGCCCCATTACACCCATTCTAGAATCCTCTTGGTGTGTGTGGTCCATTCTCCCTGCCTCCCTTGCCACGCACAGTGGAGAGATAGCTCCAAGAACAAAGCCCATTATGCCCCTAGCCAGCTGGCAGAGCCAGTTACCATCACTAGGTGGCGCACACACATAAGCAGTAGGTTGAGCGCCCCCCTCCCCAAAAGTTAGAAAACTAGAGAAAGCAAACCCATGCAACAAAGAAGGAATGCAAGAATGCGGTTCACAGATTCAAACAGCTATGGCATTTTTGAAATTCTGACCACCAAGCTGCTTTATCCTGTGCCCCCAAAACTTGGGGCTGGGTGGATATCGGTCATGATGGAAATCTCCCTGCACCAGGTGGCAGCGAGAGCAAGGTACAGAGTCTGAGGGCCTGCCGGCTCCACAAGGACCCGATGGCCCCCACAGCAGCCCATCTCTCCCTTGAATGGCCTCTCTAAATCATCATCCATACCGCTTAATATTAGTAACCTATGCAAAAGCCATTTCTCCCTTTTCCCAGGCTAGCAAACTCCCCTCACATAACTAGGACAAATCATGAGTAGACTGAATCAACCAGGGTTCTTATTCCCCTTGACATTGATGGGTTTGGGGATGGGCATGTGACCCAAATCCAGTCAGTGAGCACTGGAGAGGCCGGGCATCTTCTAAGGGAGGAGCAGAGGGAGAGTTGGATAAGCACACTCCATGCTGAGCACAGAACCCAATGCAGGGCTTGATCCCATGACCCTCAGATGGTGACCTGAGCCAACCAGGTGCCCCCAGACTTCCTACTCTTAAAAAAAATTAATTTCTGTTGTTTAAGCCACTCAGTTTGTGGTACTTTGTTATAGTAGCTGTAGCAAACTAATCCAGGGAGCCAATGGAGAGTTTTGAGCAGAAGAGTTACACACTCTTACTTTTTAAAGGAATCACACATTGTTGCTACCTTACAAAACGAGTGGAAGCAAATGGACCAGCCAGGCTGCTAATGCAATAAGCTGGGTGGGAGGTGATTGTAGGCCACAGTGGAGGGAATGAGAAAAGCAAAGCCAAGAGAATATGCTACTTGGTTGGGTGTGGGGAATGTGTGTGAGAAGAACCAAGGGTGCCCACATCTTAACGTTATTCATCTTCAGCTCGAGAAGCCTCCGTTTCTCCTGGGTATTCTTGTTATTTTGTGTTGACATCTCTGTCTCTATTTTTCCTTTAAATGATAATGTCCCCCAGGATTTGGTCTTCTGCCTTCACAGTCTATAGATCCTCCTCATAGATCACAGCCAAACCTATGACTTCAACTTTCACTGGCATTTTGATGACTCCCAAATACATAACTCTTTGATTTCCCTTCTGATTGCCAGAAACATATATCCAGACTCCATTAGGCATTCCTGCCTCGCTATCCCACAAGCTTCTTTCATTCATTTTGTCTAAATAGACTCATATGGGGCGCCTGGGTGGCTCAGTCGGTTGGGCGTCTGCCTTCAGCTCAGGTCATGATCCCAGGGTCCTGGGATCAAGCCCCGTGTCGAGCTCCCTGTTCAGTCGGGAGTCTGCTTCTCCCTCTTCCTCTGCCCCTTCCTCCATCCCTGTTCATGCTCCTTCTCTCTCAAATAGTTAAAAAATCTTAAAAATAAATGGACTCATTATTTACCCCAAAGTGTGTTCCTCCTCCTCTATTCCCTTCAGTGTACCTGGGAAGTTCAAATGTGGCTTCAGCTTTAGGCAGTTAGATCTAGGGGTTCAAATAATGTCAAAGTCGCCCTGCTCACACACACACCTCTTCTCTACTTCTTTATGTTTATTGGATTCATTCTTTATGTGTATTGGATTCATCCATTCATTCTCTACATTCATCAGAAAGAATGGTGAATGGTTCAAGCCTATGTACTTACAGCTTGTGATCCAAAAGGATCAGAGGCCTTCTCTTTCCTTTGATCCACCTATCAAATATTAGAGTAGTTCCTGATTGGTTTTGTTTGGCCCATATGCCCAGTCTGGAGCCCAGTCACTGGCGCCAGGAGGACAGAATACTCTAACTGGCTAGCCTTGGTTCTACGCCATCTTCAAGGGAAGGTGTGACCGACAGGACATACCACATGGAGTAGGGGAGGTATGGTTCCCTAGAGGAAACCATTATCAGAAGAAGGAACGCTAGGCAGTCAGTCATATACTCCAGTCACACTGTTATATTCAGTGATTCACAGGAATTACTTGTAACAATTTTTGTAACTAGATGTTCACTTGTCTGACGATTTGACATCTACCTCCCTCACTAGATTGGAACTCGTCAAAGTGTAACTGTGTATTTTTGGTGACCACAGTGTCCCCTGGCACACAGTAGGTGCTTAGTATTTGATGAGTGGTTGGCCTCCAAACCTGTCCAAAGGCTTGCCTTTTCTAATCTATGTCCACCCTGCCACCAGAGTGATCTTGAACTGTGCATCTGATTATGCCACTTCTCTGCTTGTACTCACTGGCTTCTTGGAGATCTCAAACTAAACCCCTTAGCTAATCATGGAGAGACCACGCAACTTGTCAGCTCTCCATTTCTCCCTAATGATCCAGTCATCCTCAGCTACCGACTGTTTCTTGCCTGCTTACTTTTTTGTACATTAGTCTACATTATTTGTTGTCTCCAATGCTTTTCCATCTTTTTCTCTGCCACCTCCAATAAACCCTTCAGAATTTGGCTCTTGCCAAACTGTTAGACGTCCTCCTCTCTGCTCCTGAAGCAGGTAGTGTTCTCTCTACTTAGCATACTTCGTGGATTTATTCCAGGGCTGCCCCATCTACACTCGATGCTCCTTGAAGGCAAGGGTTTTTACTAATTTTTGCTGACCAGTACCCAAAATTCTTGCCAAAGAGAATCAATGGTTCCTTCTCTCTGTATAGCTACTTCTACTGCAATAAACATTACAGTCATTAATGTTGCTCATTCTTCTCCTAGAGGATTCTATGTAGTATTAATCCCTGCACCTAGCCTGGTGCGGCTGAGCTGTTCTGACCTAAAAAGTCAATTACAGAATAGAATCACACACACAAAAATATTTTATGTACTTCAGACACTTTTAACTTAAAATACATAGCCATTCACTTTTGATGTAGGGCCAAGGCATTTCCCTTGAGTGTGGGCCTATTGTTTGGAGTCCCACTGGTTTTGGGGTTTTTGTGGGGTTTTCGTTTTGTTTTTTTGTTTTTGTTTTCGTTTTTTGGTTTTGTTTTGATCATGCATGACTGGCTCATTTATTCCAAAGAATTATTATATTTATTTTGTTTTCCATGCATACTTTTTAGCAGTAATATGAAAGAACCATTTTAAAAATTGGAAGAATTTAAACAGAACTTGTAATGATAAAAATCCCATGTTTTATGGTGGATGCTTTCCAAAGATAAAATGTTTTAAAACCAAAATGTATCACCTCTGATTTCCAGTTTTTGCTTCCTTAATGTGGAACTGTGAACTGAAACACTGAGAAAGGACAGAAGGGCTGAATCTTTCTAAATTATTACTTTTTTCAGTCTCTCTTCTTTCACCCACAAATAAGTCAAAACAATTATGTTCAGCAACTTGCTTTTATTGAGTCATTCCAAACCATTCAGTTTTCATAGATGCAATTCTTTTTGCATTCATATTAATTCGCCTAATATTTTGTCAATTTATGTGATTAAAATTAACAAAACAAATAACGTTCCACAGTTCACAGGTGGGAGCTGAAGTGCATAAGCATGGCTAAGAGCATTCGATGTGCTGTGTGCATCAGTCAGTGTGCTTTGCAGAGAGAATGGAGAGGATGCAGGGGAAGACTTGGGTAAGAGAAGGTTGGATCAGGGAGCTCTGACTGGACTATATTAACCCCATTTTCCAGATGAGGCAGTTGAGACTAAGAAAGTTACGACACTTGGCCATTTTTAATAAGTGATTCATATATGAAAAACACAAACAGAGATACAGAGAGGAGAAAGAACCGGCTGTCTAAAGGTCAAAGAAAACTTAGGAGGAGATGATGCTTGAGCAGAGTCTAGAAGGGAATAGGAGGAAATCAGACAAGTAAGCGGGAGAACATTCCAGGCAGAGAAAACAAGGGTAATAAAGTCCAAAAAGACTGTGAAAAATGAAGTATTCTTAAAATAAATTCTGCTTGACTGGAGCCTAGGTTTATCAGGGTGTGAGTGGGGGCTAGAGATCCAGACTGGGATGGTTTCCCGTGCCAAACAGTTTACTTAGAGGCTCCCGGGAGCCACTGGACAAATTTCCTTGGAGAAGCAACACAGTTAGACTTATATTATAGAAAGACATTGCCATGACAGGATGGACAACAGGCCAGACTAAGGGAGACAGCCTGGGAGGCTGCTGCAGGGGAACTCGGGACAGTGATGAGGACCTGAACCCAGCGGCGTCCACACATGGTATTCACTTCGACAAGTGCCGGCAAGAATAAACAGGCATGCGATCAGTAAAACCCAAACTGAGGGAACTCTACAGGGTAAACAGCTCAGTTTCTTCAGTAAATAAATTGCAAGGGGGAAAATGACAGAGACAGTGGGGAGCTAAAATGTGAGTGGGCTCCAAACCCTACAGCATTAGCATCACCTTGCACTTGTGAGAAGTGCAAATTCTCAAGCTCCACCCCAGACTTAGAATCAGAAACTGTTTTAAAAAGCCTTGTAGGGGATTCTGATGCACTCTTGTTTGAAAACTGCTACAACAGACTGGAAGAAATTTACAATGCTTATCAGCCAACTGCAATACAGTTATCTTATTTGGCTCTTCATTCAAAAAAGATTGCAACAAATTTTGACATCCTTAGACAATTTATGGTATCAAGGAATTATCAATTTTTTAGGTACATAAATGATGTTAAGATTATATGTACACGTACACACATATTTAAAAGCATTGAAATATTTATGCATAAAAGATGGGATGCCTAGGATTTGCTTCAAAATACTACAGGAGGCAGGCAGGGGTAGACATGAGATTGGCCATGAATTAGTAATTGTTGAATAATGGGTATCTCAGTGTTCTTTATACTTTTTAAGACTTTTGTTTTTGAGACTTTTTTCCATTCTAAAAAGTTTAAAAACTCAAGGGTAAAAGTAAATTAAAAGACTACAACTTAAGCAGAATTAATGCAAAAAAAGAAAGTATACTGAAAAAAACCCTACTACATACTAGTGTGCGGCAAAATGATTTTGATTTGGATGTAAGGGAATTCTGTATGCTCATCAATCCACTGATGTCATTGTATGTCCCTGACCCCACTGGAGGATGATTTACATGGGAGAAGAGGGACCACAGTCTGCTCAAGGGCACATGAGTACCTACACCCATTTGCTTTCCAATTTCCAAACTGACCTAGATTTTGGAATGCTATCTGTTAATAAATTCAGGTTTACCTGCATTTTTTTTTTTGGAAGTTTACTGCTTTAGCATATTATGACTGCAACCTGAGTAGGCTAATACACAGCATTAAAAATGCTTGATTTTTTTCCCTTAAACTAGAAAAGGGACAACTATCCTTTACATAGGTCCAGTAGCCAAGTCATACATTTTAAGAGATGTTCAGAGGCTCGTCTGGCTTGAAAGGTCATCATCCAAATGACTAGTCTTGAAAACTGTTCAGGGCAAGTAATTAAAAAAAACTAATTGTGAGGTTGCATAGGCCTTAATACATCCTTTAATTTACATTCTCGTGATGTGGTAGCTTTACTCTTCTGTAATACACCTATTGTGCTGTTTTAGAAACAGGGTGAATAGATGTTACTCTCCTTCCTTTTTACTGTCCCTCTTATTCACCCTCTCCTATTGAAATATACTTTATGAAAACCTGGTCCATAAGAAATTTAATTGGAAAGCACTCTCATCAAAACCTAAGGAGGTAGGTGGTAGGATGGATTATATATTCTCACTTTACAAAGGCACTGGCAGAATTTTCAGTGTGGTTCCTTCTCTTTTCTGTTTTATTTTAGAGATTCCGTCATTTTTGTCATCACTGTTATCATGATCATCATTTTTGTCATGATCATTCTTTTCACTATTATTTTGCCTGGAACAGTCATTGACGCGGGGAAAAGACTGTTAGAAATCATTGCCGTCCATTATCAGGCATCCTTTCTGATCAAAGTGACCTAGAAATAAAGATTTCTGTTCCATTTCATCTACTTTTGTTGAGCTTCTGCTGTGTTCCCACCCATGTGATAGCTTTAAGGAAACAAGAACCACCAAGCACCCCCCGCCCCCAATTCATGTCTCATGTACTCTAGCTGAAGAAATAAGAGCCGAGGGAAGAGAATCACCGCACGCCTATGGGGAGGGACTGGAGAGCCCGGACTATGTAACTTTAGGTGGCTTCGCTCCAAATCCTAACTCTGCCACTCACTAGCTAAGTGATGGTGAGCAAGTTACTTAACCTCTCCTGCCCCAGTTTCTTCATCTGTTAAATGAGGGTAAGAACAGTAGTAACCTTATGGGGTTTTCTTGAAACAATTCTTAACTAGATAATCCATAAAACACTTAAATTTATCCATATATTTTATAAATATCTGTGTTGACCATTGTTTCTTATATCCTACACCTTCCTCCTGGTATTCTTTTCTGTCCTGGAAATATATATATATATATTTCTTTTTTTAATATGAAAGCTCTATGCCCAACATGGGGCTTGAACTCATGTCCTCGAGATCAAGAGTTGCATGCTCTACTGACTGAGCGAGCTAGGTGCCCCGGAAACATAACCTTAAAAGTTCATAATTATCTTGGATTTTGTGGCTCTGAAAATACTGCCTCCCAGTTTTGCCCCCAATCTTATGGTTTAGCCGTACATAAAATTCTAGGCTGATAATTATTTTCCTCAGCTTTGAAGATATTATCCCACTGTCTTCTGGATTTTATGCCATTGAGAAGTTTGCTATCAGTTTCACAGTTGTTACTTTGCAAATAACATGTCTTCTCTCATTGGAAGAACACATGCATCTAAGGAGACTACTGATCAATGTATGTATTTGTTACGAGAGTAACCACTTCATACAAGATTTCCAATTTCAGGGATTAGGCAGGGGAAGTTCATGATAAAAGCATCCTCTCATCCTTTACAAAGGAACACGGCAGGAACTAAAGGCCACTGTGACCAAAAGGAAGCTCTGCAAGACTTCCTACCTCTAACTATAACCTTGCCTCCAGGGGAGGACTAAGAGTGCCTTGCCAAGAATCCCGTAAGTCACCCAAGGGTTTAAAGGGATGCCAAGCCCTCATTTTTATACTCCCATGAGTTACTTCTCTCCTTTCCTCTCATGCTTTCCACTTCTTATAATAGGACAACTCTATATTTTGAGCTTATAAGGCAAGTATGATAAAATAGTACATTTAAAACTTTGAGTTTAGCCCTTCCTGGCCAATGTTTATGTTCAGATTACTAAAAACATGTATCTAGGAATATGGTACAAAACAGATCTCACCTTGTAGATGAAATAGCTAAAATTTTGGCATCTTTATTGATCCTGGGTCATATATTTGGCTTGGAAACAATGTACAACAAATAGTTCCAATTAAGATATTACAAACTAAATTTTTCTTCCAGATCTCTAAATGCTCATGGAGAGCCAACTTCCATGGTACATGGCACACAGCACAGACTTGAGAGTCAGGCCCACAGAAAATATCCATGTAGGCCAAACAAGAAAGATGCTATTTGCTTCTCATTACATAAACAATGCCTGAACTTATCTAACCAACAAACTTATTTTTCTAAAAATTAATCTGTGACTGGAAGTACTATCATGTTTGCTGGGTGCCATTCTCATTTGAATCATACCCAAAAAGGCTAGAAATAACTCAGCACTAGAAAGTGGCCCAAGTGCTAAGGTTGTCTATGGCTCTTGCTACAAAATAGTTGCCAGTCTAATTTGAATGTTTAAAAAGAATGACAGGAATTACAGGGTTGTTCTTGATTTCAAGAGAACTTCCCAGAAGGAGGTGGAGGACCAAGAAATCCACCTGCCTGCTTGGTGGCAGCTCGTGAAGGGGCAAGACCAAGAATCTTCTGGATGTTCTGTGAAGAAAACAGAATTAAAATTGGGTTTTAATATGAGATAGAAGAGTATTTATATAGATCCCATATGAAGAGAAGGCATATAAATTAAAAGTACCATTATAACCTAAAATAGGACAATTACTACCGTGTTATTTTTTAGAAGGCTACAACACAATGGAGGTCATAAGACAGTAAAAGCCCTCTCACCTAATGCGACCTTGGTCCACAACCAAAAGAAGCTGATTTTTTCAAGTGGAGAATCATTAAAAGAGGTAATCTTTTATTTCAACTCGAAGCATATAAAGTATATTCATTAGCTGTTTCTTACAGCAAGGCCTTTTCTCTCAATATGGATCATCAGCTGAATTTAGTCATTACTGCACCATCTAAAGCCGAAACTGAAATACTCAGTTTCAGTTTTTTCAGAGTGGTAAGGGATCTTAGGTTCCTGTAAAGCAATCTGAGTCCAGAATCCTAGATTTCTAGCACCTCCCCTCACCTTTTCACTTGTCTCATTATATCCAATTCAGCAGTTTTTTCAAAAATTCACCTTCATTAAAGTAGTTCTCATAAAAATCACTTTTTATATTCATATTTTATTACTTACTGTAACATTAAATTACATAAATACAACAACAAGTAAAACCAGCATAAACAGTTTTAGGATAGATACAGGCTCTTGAAAAGCAATGACTCACCTGGTAGGAACAGACAGGTGTGGGCATACCACAGAGCAAACCATGAATGGAGAGTGTGATGCGGGGATTAAATGCTATGCCTTTTTAAAGAGGGAAGTGAGAGGGTTTGTGAATGTGGAGAGCTTCAGTTAAAGGTCAGGTGTTAAGATTCTGTACAGCATTCATAAGAGCGAAAAACTTTAAAGATTATCTACTTTCTCTTGCTCAATTCTTTCATTTTGTATTTGAGGAATTCCAATGAAAACCTGGAAAAGTGTGATGGTTTGTCCAAAATTACAAAGTTAAATGAAGAGCAAAGTTAGAATTAAAACCCATGTGTTTTGATTCATAATCGGATGGATGCTCTTACACAGTACTTCCTATGTTAAAGTTCTGGTCTTCAGAACACACTCTACCCCGTTGGTAGGCAGGTGAGCAAGCGCACATTCACTCAGTAGTTACTGAGCACCACTGTACATAACGCACCATGACAATACCCATAGCCAGCCTTCTCTGAAGTGTATACAATCCCTCAGTCCTTCATCATTGGGAATGAGGACTGCTACAGATTTGAGTGTTTATATTTCTGACATAGCACACTGCCAGAATATAACAGAATATATAAAAATGAAGACGCAACTTTAAGAACTCATTCAAATTATATTTATCACAAAAACTTCATTCATTCATTTATCCATCCACTCACACACTCACAACACTGCAGCTTGTGCTTTCTTTTTTTTTTTTTAATTAACATATAATGTATTATTTGTTTCAGGGATACAGGTCTGTGATTCCTCAGTCTTATATAATACCCAGTGCTCATTACAACACATACCCTCCCCAATGTCCACCACCCAGTTACCCCATCCCCCCAACCCCTTGTGCTTTACTTTAAAAAGAAATCTGGGAGGAAGCTAAGAAAAAAAAAAAAATCAATCATTAGATCAGGCTGCTTCTCCTTAGTAAAGCTGGAGAATGTATTACTTTTATAATAAAAATAACTCCTTCATGCCTGCTTCTAAAAAGGTGTACAAAACAGTAAGACCAAATGATATGTCACTAATTTCCCATTTCTTTTATTTAATCAGTAAGTCTTTACTGACCACCTACAATATATCCAGCATTAAGCAAGGCACTGTGGGAAATGACTTTAAAGATAAAATTTGAAAGAATAAGACATTACAGAATTAGCTATGGATAAACACATTTGTCTAGTTAACAAACACACTAATACAGTCTAGACAAAATATACTAGACATCCTTGATCAGTTTTTCTGTAGAGACAGGGGCCAATTAAGTGAGTCCTTACCATTTTAGAAATAAAGACTAGTGTAAAACCTCTGATGCCCTTTAAATTACAGGTTTACTGTAATTTAAAGAAACAACTCAAAGGAAAATAGGAAATATTTTGAAGGGTAGACTGTTGACGTCTTTTTTTTTTTTTTTAAAGATTTTATTTATTTATTTGACAGAGAGAGACACAGCCAGAGAGGGAACA